TGACACAAAGTAAGGGAAAGTTTTTTTCTTGCAATTGTACTTATCACTAATTACCTGAAGTATATACAAAATCTATACTTACCAAGAGTTCACCGTCTATGTTCAAGGGCGAGAGAATTGCCTCCCAAGCTGAGGAAAACAATCCCATATCATGTTTTCTTGAGTAGAAAGTTACCATCATGTGCATAAATACCACTATAATATATTCATCACAAAAACTCTGTGCCAAGTTTGGACGAATTTTGATTTCGATTGTCTTCGCGTAAAAAAATCCGGAGCCAATTTGGAACGACGGTTGGAGTCATTTGATAGGAGCTCCGAGACACATCTCGCGACAAGGTTTGGCTCGGTTCAAGTTCCAATTTGGCACGCGAGCTTTTCCGGATGACATTCGGGCGCAATCCGTTTTGGAGCAAATTCGTGACCAAATTATTCAAAACTAAATTCTGTTTTTTGTTCATTTTGGATATTGAGGATTTCAAAATTGCATTTATTATTGCGGTTTACAACAACCATTATTCAGCATTCTAGCAACAAGCAGTCTTAGCACCAGGTCAAATAGCCTACGCACTGGCGGGCCTTGAAAGCGCCCGGTGGGCAAGGACGACATCTCCAAGGTCGCCATCGTCGATGAGGAACTTGTTCGGAAAGACGAACGCACCCATAGCCGGATCATGGGGGATCCTTCGCTCCACGACAGCAAAGTGGATCATCTGTTTGACCTTTTCGCACCACTCCTGGTAGTCTGGCCTGTTCTGCTCCGGCTGGCTACTGATTCGCTTGCGACGCTTATCCTGCAGAAGGGGCCATTCGATCTGCAATGTGGTGTAGGGTTGGGTGGATGGTTTATGAGGAGGGTAGGTTACGGGTAAATGAGCAAACTGAAAGCGGTGATTCAGTCGTCACTATCTACGTAACTGCAAAGGCTTAATCGACCAGGGATTAAGCTGAAGTACAGGCAAGGGGTTAAGGGGATGAGGCATGGGGGTACAAACACATATCTACATCCTTACCGAAAACAGGCCCCATGCCACCACGCGGCTCTTGAACTTGGTGAACACCGCCCCGCCCCTCTTGAAGGAGAGCTTGAACGCATAAGCGAACAAGGGGTTGCTGAAGGGCGTCCCAGTGGCCTTGTCAAAGTGCCAGTTGAGGGCCCACTGTTCTGCTTTTTGGCAGGGAGGGTATGGGTTGGAAAGGGTTTTGTAGAGAAATCAAGTGGGGGGATGAGAGTCAGGGTGAGCCACATCGCACGGTGATATGTAGCTGCCAACTGGCATATGGTAGGGCATATGGTGTTTTCGAGTTGCACTGCACATACCATCTCTGTACTCGGCTAGGAGATGATCGTCGTCGAACCAGGTCGTTGGGTGTAGCTCAGTGGGCAGGCTATCCACGAGATGGCTGTAATCGGCAAGGCCCATGCCGGTGTATGCTGCTGGCCTGAGGGTGGAGTTGATAGTTGACCTTGTTGAGGACAGCTGGTGGTTGAAGACTCCCATGGTTGACTTGTCATTGTGCAACCACAGCAGCTTCATTGCCTCGAGCCCTTCTGCAGACAAGTGGACAGAGAACGCGTCGAACACTTCCTCCGGTGCAGGGTAGTACTGTATTTTCTCCGGCGGGTTCAGAAACATGAGCTGAGAGCACACTAAGTAGGCTTTGTTCTGCGCAGGGGTGTAAGGTATACAACACGACATGGGAGAGAGAAACCAGCAGTTATGAGGGTGGCCGCGTGACCAGGGGATGGTGACTAGCAACACTGTGTGAACTTGCCACGTCACACCCTGCGCCATCCGACACGTCCACCAACAACCCGCCCCACTTGCCACGTCACACCCCCCTACCACAAGCCACGTCACCCCCCACCCACCTGACACGCCTCGCTTCGTCATGCGCCGTGGTCACGTGTACCCTTTCAAACCGCCACGTCATCCCCAACCCTCACCTTCCGCCACGTCACACCCACCTGCATCCGCCACGTCATCCCCAACGGACACCTTCCGCCACGTCACACCCTCGTGCATCCGCCACGTCCACCAACCAGCCCCACGTGCCACGTCACACCCTCCTGCATCCGCCACGTCCACCAACAACCAGCCCCACATGCCATGTCACACCCTCCCACCCCATGCCACGTCACCCCCCACCCACCTGACACGCGTCGCCTCGTCACGCGCCGCTCCCGTGTACCATTCCAAACCGCCACGGCACACACTCAGCTCACATCCCGCCACATCACACCCTCCTGCATCCGCCACGTCCACCAACAACCAGCCCCACGTGCCATGTCACACCGACCCACCCCATGCCACGTCACCCCCCACCCACCTGACACGCGTCGCCTTGTCACGCGCCGCTCCTGTGTACCATTCCAAACCGCCACGTCAGCCCCAACCCTCACATTCCGCCACGTCACACCCTCCTCCATCCGCGACGTCCACTGACAACCAGCCCCACGTGTCACGTCACCCCCCACCCACCTGACACGCGTCGCCTCGTTACGCGCCGCTCCCGTGTACCATTCCAAACCGCCACGTCAGCCCCAACCCTCACATTCCGCCACGTCACACCCTTTTGCATCCGCCAACAACCCGCCCTACTTGCCACGTCACACCCCCCACCAAGAGCCACGTCACCCCCCACCCACCTGACACGCCTCGCTTCGTCATGCGCCGCTCACGTGTACCCTTTCAAACCGCCACGTCATCCCCAACCCTCACCTTCCGCCACGTCACACCCTCCTGCATCCGCCACGTCATCCCCAACCCTCACCTTCCGCCACGTCACACCCTCCTGCATCCGCCATGTCCACCAACCAGCCCCACGTGCCACGTCACACCCTCCTGCATCCGTCACGTCCACCAACAACCAGCCCCACGTGCCACGTCACACCCTCCCACCCCATGCCACGTCACCCCCCACCCACCTGACACGCGTCGCCTCGTCACGCGCCGCTCCCGTGTACCATTCCAAACCGCCACGTCACACACTCACCTCTCATCCCGCCACGTCACACCCTCCTGCATCCGCCACGTCCACCAACAACCAGCCCCACGTGCCACATCACACCGACCCACCCCATGCCACGTCACCCCCCACCCACCTGACACGCGTCGCCTTGTCACGCGCCGCTCCCGTGTACCATTACAAACCGCCACGTCAGCCCCAACTCTCACATCCCGCCACGTCACACCCTTTTGCATCCGCCAACAACCCGCCCTACTTGACACGTCACACCCCCCACCAAGAGCCACGTCACCCCCCACCCACCTGAAACGCCTCGCCCCGTCATGCGCCACTCCCTTGCACCCTTTCACACCGCCACATCATATCTCAACCCTCACCTTTTGCCACGTCACACCCACTTGCATCCGCCGCGTTCACCAACAACCCGCGCCACTTGCCACGTCACACCCACCCACCCCATGCCACGTCACCCCCCACCCACCTGATACGCGTCGCCTCGTCACGCGCCGCTCCCGTGTTCCCTTCGAAACCGCAATGTCAGCCCCAACCCCGCCCTGGTTGCCACGTCAACCCCAACCCGCCCCATTTGGCCCGTCACATACCGGGAATGGGTTTGTCTCCTGCAACACTAGCACTCGTGCCTTGTCCACGGCACTCATCGGCGGCGGGGTACCAGCCATAGGCAGGGCTGCCGACCCGCCGGCATAGCTGGCAGGTACTCCACGACGCAGGCCGAGCTGTGCAAACATGGCGTACATCTCAGACCGCAGCGCCTGGAACTGCTCCCGTGTAACAAACTGCTCGTGCTCCGCACTTTCACCTAGGGCACCCATGAGCGGAGGAAAAGGGTGTGAAGAATCCCCCCTCTGGCCAAGGGGATCAACGTCTTCTGCAGCAGTCCCGTGTGCCCTCACACTATCACGCTGGCGGGAAAAGGGGAGCTCAGGGAAGGGATTGGCATAAGTGCCTGCCTGATGCCCGCGCGAAGGACCGGCGAGGGGGGAGACCGCCCTGCCCCGGACAGGAGAAGCGTGGAGTTGCCGAAATGGGTACGAGGGTGAGGCGAGTGGGGAGTGCGTGACGGGGGCTGGTGGAGGGGATTCGGATTCCTCTCCTCTTGGCGCGCCGGATGCCGTCGCAGCGACTTTTCTCGGGCCGGAGTATGGCGTGTAGAACCTTGGTGCTCCTGTGGATAGCGGTGTAACACTCGGTCTTCCGGCAGCCTTCGTTAGCTGCATCCGTTGCACGCTTACCGGTGGCCCAATGCCTGTAACGCGAGGGGCTGAGATGTAGAGGGAGTAGGATAAAGAAATTAGAGTCGATAGGTTTCAATACAGGGCCAGAAATGCATGCATAAGATCAAAGGTTTGAATCTAAATCGGGCTTAGGGTTGTACTGTTTTGAGACAAGAGGCTTTACCTTGCTTGGCAGGTTCGTCGACCTTCTCCTTCCCTGCAGGGGAGAAACAATGTGAAAAAATGGTGTTATTTGGCACGGTTGAGCAGATGGTTCAACAACCACGCCAGTTGTATTGGCCACAATGCTCACCTTTCTGCTGTCCCTTCGGTTTTTTTGCAGCCTGCCTTCTCGTTGCCACCTTTCCGCGGGGTGCTTTGGCGGACGCTGCGACGTTTACCGGCAGGCTCTTTCTTGCCGGTACCCACTGGAACCCCTTTGGCGCGGCCACCCTTTCCTCCTCCATCCCCTTTTGCTCCCTGGATCCCTTGCTTTTTACCACCCCCTTCACTTTTGACCTTCACCTTACGCGCCTTCGGTTTGCCCGCTGCTTCGCCGCGCGCGGCGTCAAGTGCCCCGCGTTTACGGGAATGGCGAGTCCGGCCCCCCACCTTCCCTGTACCACTCACCCGTCTGCCACGCCCGCCCTGTCCCTTCACTGGCGCCACATCCTCCTCCTCCTCCTCCTCCTCCTCCTCCTCCTCCTCCTCCTCCTCCTCCTCCTCCTCCTCCTCCTCCTCCTCCTCTGCCTCCTCCTCCTCCTCCTCCTCCTCCTCCTCCTCCTCCTCCTCCTCCTACTCCTCCTCCTCCTCCTCCTCCTCCTCCTCCTCCTCCTCCTCCTCCTCCTCCTCCTCCTCCTCATCCTCCTCCTCATCGTCACCCTGCTCCTCCTCCTCCTCCTCCTCCTCCTCCTCCTCCTCCTCCTCCTCCTCCTCCTCCTCCTCCTCTTCATCCTCCTCCTCATCGTCACCCTGCTCCTCCTCCTCCTCCTCCTCCTCCTCCTCCTCCTCCTCCTCCTCCTCCTCCTCCTCCTCCTCCTCCTCTGCCTCCTCCTCCTCCGCCTCCTCCTCCTCCTCCTCCTCCTCCTCCTCCTCCTCCTCCTCCTCCTCCTCCTCATCCTCCTCGTCCTCCTCCTCCTCCTCCTCCTCTTCGTCCTCCCCGCCATCATTCTCATCTTTTTCATCCTCCCAAACATCCGCGTCATCCTCCTCCGCATCCTCTTCATCCTCCTCTTCCTCCGCATCCTCCTCCTCATCGTCCTCCTCCTCCGCATCACCAGGGTCTTCATCGCCCCGTTTCGGCCTCGTCCCCGTCGCTGCTTTCTTGCCTCTCCTTCCGCCGGATGTTTTTCTTGCTGCGGGTCGGCCCTTCTGGCGCAATGCTTGACCGCCCGCCTTGCCTCTAGCTTCCTTGGCGCCTCGCGTTGTCCCAACTTCCGCGCCTCCGGCGTCGTCAGCAGTGCCTGTCGTCTGCCGCCTCTTCGCCCGCGTGGTGAGGTCCCCGGGCACGGCGGTGTCATAATCGTCCTCCCCATCGCTCTTCCTCTGCCTACGCCTCCCCCGTCCACCAGAAGGAGGCGAGCCACCGACGTCGGCGATGCTGTGGTTAGGATCCTCCATCGACTCGTGCTCCCCCACCTTGTCCTTATCCAGCACGGCTGCAGAAACTTCGACCACGGTCGGCTGGAGCAGCGTCAGATGGTGTTGCGATGCCGCCGCCTCGGACTCCTTGGTTGCGGCATGCTCAGCGCGGGGATCGCCTCCGTGGCTTCCCCCTGTCGCCGATCCCTCTCTCTCTGCCGACGGGACTGCAAGACTCGCGCTCCCTCGCCCCGGATCTTCGTTGCCGCCAGTGGTGCCGTCGTTACTCGGACCGGGCTCGGTTCCAGCAGAGGCAACATCCGCATCTTTGTTCATTGTAGAAACACGCTTGCGTGGCGTTGGTTGCTTCCCCTTGTCTTCCGCTTTCTTGCCGGACTTCTCTTGACCGCGCTCGACCTTATTTGCCGCCACTTTTTTCAGCCCAATGCCACGCGCGACGGACGCATTAGTTTTTTTAGCGCCGCCACCACTCTCCCTATTTATCTGTTTAGACGTCCTCCTTGTCGCGCGGTGCCCGGCCTGTTCCTCCTCCATTGCTTGGTTACGTGTTGCACGTGTCATGGTAGTTGTAGGAAAGCAAATTTCTGTCGCGCGGAAGGGTTGAGCCGGTTTCGAAGGGGTACTGCAACTGAATCCCACGATGGGATTATCGACGGTCTATCACTATGATCTTTATCCGAAAACCGCTGCTTCAACTAAAACTGAATTAGTAGCCACTAAGCACAGAGCTACAGCCGATCTGGAAAGGCGTGTGTCAAATAGTGAGCAGCGTCAAAGTGTTGGCCCAGAGAGTGACGGAAGCAGGTGGGTGGGGCACGAAGGTGGTTGGCGTGGGTTGCGAGACTAGAGAGATTACTGTAACCCTATCAGGCTATATCGGACGGTGTACGTGTGGCCACCCTAGCATAAACCCACCTACCGCTCGATCTCAGTCGCTCAATGGCTGAAGTACCTCTTGGCTGGTGCTTGTGTTGCGGGGGGAATCGTTTGAGATGCGTCGGCCAATCACGGTTGCCAACGCATCAATCACTACAAAGGGTACAACGGTTGTGGAACCAAAAGTGCGAAAATAAACAAATCCCTGCAAAGTACAGTGTTGTCGCGAACGCACAGTGTTGCACATAGCAGCTAAATAAAATTCAAACATACAACAATAGAATTCATCAAACACTTAGTTGCAAATGGTTTAGTATGGGGTTGGGGTAAGGTAGTCGGTGATTCTCACGACACACACACAACGACCGTCCAGAAGTATTACTTGTGACAGATGTACTGCGCACTTTTAGGCTTTGCCACAACGGTTTATCTCCAGCGGACGACATTCTAACACGATGATCAATAGTAACGAACGAGAATCAGTTGTGGTATGGTGTTGGATTGTCATCCATTCTTGCACGGACATTAAACAAGGTGCTTAGAAGGAGTGGTATGAAGCACAGGCCCAACGCACAAGCGTTGATGCGTTATCGACAGCCATGTTTAGACAGTGCGACGATGCAGCGTTCAGGCCTGTGTGTTGCGCGACATGGTGAATCCGTTGTGGTATGGTGTTGGATTGTCATCCACTCTTGCACGGACATTCAACAAGGTGCTTAGAAGGAGTGGTATGAAGCACAGGCCCAACGCACAAGCGTTGATGCGTTATCGACAGCCATGTTTAGACGGTGCGACGATGCAGCGTTCAGGCCTGTGTGTTGCGCGACATGGTGAATCCGTTGTGGTATGGTGTTGGAGTGTCATCCAACACACAAGCGTTGATGCGTTATCGACAGCCATGTTTAGACGGTGCGACGATGCAGCGTTCAGGCCTGTGTGTTGCGCGACATGGTGAATCCGTTGTGGTATGGTGTTGGATTGTCATCCAACACACAAGCGTTGATGCGTTATCGACAGCCATGTTTGGACGGTGCGACGATGCAGCGTTCAGGCCTGTGCGTTGCGCGACATGGTGAATCCGTTGTGGTATGGTGTTGGATTGTCATCCATTCTTGCACGGACATTCAACAAGGTGCTTAGAAGGAGTGGTATGAAGCACAGGCCCAACGCACAAGCGTTGATGCGTTATCGACAGCCATGTTTGGACGGTGCGACGATGCAGCGTTCAGGCCTGTGCGTTGCGCGACATGGTGAATCCGTTGTGGTATGGTGTTGGATTGTCATCCATTCTTGCACGGACATTCAACAAGGTGCTTAGAAGGAGTGGTATGAAGCACAGGCCCAACGCACAAGCGTTGATGCGTTATCGACAGCCATGTTTGGACGGTGCGACGATGCAGCGTTCAGGCCTGTGCGTTGCGCGACATGGTGAATCCGTTGTGGTATGGTGTTGGATTGTCATCCATTCTTGCACGGACATTCAACAAGGTGCTTAGAAGGAGTGGTATGAAGCACAGGCCCAACGCACAAGCCTTGATGCGTTATCGACAGCCATGTTTGGACGGTGCGACGATGCAGCGTTCAGGCCTGTGCGTTGCGCGACATGGTGAATCCGTTGTGGTATGGTGTTGGATTGTCATCCATTCTTGCACGGACATTCAACAAGGTGCTTAGAAGGAGTGGTATGAAGCACAGGCCCAACGCACAAGCCTTGATGCGTTATCGACAGCCATGTTTGGACGGTGCGACGATGCAGCGTTCAGGCCTGTGCGTTGCGCGACATGGTGAATCCGTTGTGGTATGGTGTTGGATTGTCATCCATTCTTGCACGGACATTCAACAAGGTGCTTAGAAGGAGTGGTATGAAGCACAGGCCCAACGCACAAGCGTTGATGCGTTATCGACAGCCATGTTTGGACGGTGCGACGATGCAGCGTTCAGGCCTGTGCGTTGCGCGTCATGGTGAATCCGTTGTGGTATGGTGTTGGATTGTCATCCATTCTTGCACGGACATTCAAACCGTTGTGTTATTGTACAACATTGTCATCCATTCTTGCATATGCATTGAGCACGGTGCGTAGAGGTACACTAAACCTCGTGAGAACACACGCTATACATATTCGGTACACGCAACAATCATACGTTAGGGCACGGAGTTCTTGGGTACTTCCCGTATCGTTCTCAAGCAGGGGTTGTTCTTGAGCATGCCTTAGGATATGATTGTTTAATAGTTATCAATGACTTGAGTGTCTAGTTAAAATGTAACTGTACATTGTCATTTCCTGGTTTGTATGAAGCCTCTAGAGGTGCGTACCACTTTGAGCTCACCTACGTGATTGCGATTTCCCCCCTAAATCGATTCGCGACACAATCACAGATCCAAACGGATCTCTTCCCGCTCTTCCTCATCCCCCTCGACTCTCACGCACGGTTCATAAAAACAAGTTCTTGAATCAATAGGCACGTCCTTCTCACCGTGCTCGCGATGCACACACGACCAACCGTCTTAAGATCCTGTGCATTCTCCTCTGCTCACGTCGTGGTCGCCCTTAACGGGGGCGACACGCCTTGTAGGGAAGACGGCCCGTGCTGTGTGCGGTCTGTATCATGCCTTCTCACGACCACGCGGCCCGACCATCGTTAGCCAGTCATAAGCATTAGCGCCAACCTCAAGTGCCAGTCGTGCAGTGATACAAGCCTCCATGGACAGTGCGCGCTTTGGCGATGACCGTGTTGTAGTCACAGCCTTCTTGAAAGGTGTACTTAATGCGTCCACAAACTTCAAATGGGCTAGTTGCTTCATAGGCCATTTCTCGACTCTTCGACGGATCCGTAACACATGGGCTCTTTGCCAGGCGTCATCTGCGAGTTCTGCAACAGATGGTTCCCCAACGCCCAAGTTTATGGCGGTCATAAGTCACGGCGGACCCCTTGCCAAGGGCTTTCCGCCGTGGAAAGGCCCACGCGATCTGCACCGTCCGCCGGTCTTCACGCTCTGCTATTCGTCCACGACATTCTGTCGGACGCTCCAGCTGCTCCCGCTTCCCCTACCGAGTCTCACGCCTCCAACACAGACGGTGTGAATGGTCCTCCTCGCGTGCCTGAAACTGACGAAGACGCAACACCCTCGGCTGTGAACGAGGGGCCTCCTGAAAATGAGCATCAACCGCCACCTGGAACACCTGCAGCTGACACGAGTGAGCATCCGGGTTGCCGCCCTGAAGTGAGTCACGCCGCACCGCCGACAATCATCTCCGGGCAGAGCAATGCCACGACCCTCAATCCGCTTGCGTTGAAGCTGCTGCATTTTGTTCGGCGCGTAAATGGCGGAATGGGAATGGCGGAGATCGACATCAATGGCCTGCTTCAGCTCGTGGTGGAGCCCGACCTTGCGCCTCTTGTGATCTCAGAGATCCGGAACTGCAAGGATCTGGAGCGGTTCGAGATGGAGCGATTGGTAGGGCTCAATCGCGGATGGTGAGTGGCGACCTTCGAGATTGACGGTCATCCGCCACAGCGCCTTCTCTTCCAGAACTCTGCGCAGGTAAGCCGACTCTGGATCCGTGGCTGTGAAATGATGATTCCGCAACCATAAGGTGCTTGTTGAAAGTTGCCTTTGTTATGCTTGTGTGAGATCTGACCCACCTTCAACGCCACTAACCAGGGTTTGGTTCTCTCCTGCTCTTGCAACCGTACGCCAGGCGTTTGCCGAACTGTTTGGGCATACCAACAACGCGCCCGGCTTCAAGCTCAAGGCTCGTGTCGATGAGGACCCTGACACAAGCGAGCGTCGCTATACCACGCCAGAAACAGGAACGTGGTGGAACGATGCTCAGGTATGGAAATACCCCGTTGCCACCCTAAACCAGTAGAGTGCGCATGCCTCCGTTGATGCGCTGATGTGTATGGAGCATCTTTTGTGTGTCATGTTCGTTGGGAGTGTGCAAAATGAGGCTTAATCCGGCTGGCGACAAGTTACCTTGGTGGTGTTTGCCCGTGTGTCGGTTCCCTCTTTGTCGTTTTTTGCAGGAACACTTCGGATGGTCCGAAGTCGTGGGGGGTATCATCCTATATTCGGATGTGACGCACATGAGCAACAACGGCCGGAAGAAGGTGTCGCCGCTCATGATGACGCTTGCCAACATCTCCCAGGCCAAGCGATGGGGGGAAGCCGGGCACACGCTACTTGCTCTCCTTCCTATCCCCCCGTCTGCAATGTCTGCCGTGGAGAAAGTGATGCTCTTCGAGCGATGCGTCATGACAGTGCTGCAGCCCCTTCTCGATGGCATGGAAAGGTCCGTACTCAATTTCCGGCTTGCTATGTCGTCACCCACTCAACAACATAGTACTCGCAGCGTTTCTGAATATAACAGTCCCCTTTGTCCCTCTTCGCTGATGCACAAAGCCGTCCTCCCTGTTCCTGATGTCTCTCTACCTGT